TCTCGGATAAAAGAGCTCAATTGTATGACCACTGTTTATGTAACTGTCGGGTTGGGCAATGAGAAAAAACGTGTTAATGCAGTAATTGTAGATAGACTTCCAGAGAAAATATCTACAGTAGGACTTAGTAAAGCTACAGAAAGACTTTCACATAATGTAAATTTAACACCTTCTGGTGTAAGTGATGTTTCCCTGTAGGCCCAATTAAATATTTTGATAGGTAGTGACTATTATGCCTCCTTTGTAAAGGGTATGGTAAAGAAATGTGGTGTTACCCTTTTGAAGACTGCAGGAGGACATGTAATGTATGGCAGGATTCCTCGTAATAATAATAAAAGGCTAGGGGAAACTACAAATACCATAACTGTGTATCTTACTCATGAAGTTGTACCCCAGTATAATTCTTCCATATAGGATGGTGTTGAGCAAGTGCATAAATTGTGGGAATTAAACAGCATTGGAATAAATGTAAATGAAGAAAGTCCAGACGATTCTTTTACTCAGGAGCAATACCTGAGAGATGTAAATTTTAAATCTGGACAATACTGGGTACGACTTCTGTGGAGACTGAACCATCCAGAATTGCCCACTAATTACAGAATGGCATATGGACAGTTAAAGGCTCAGCTCCGCGAACTGAGTAAGACACCAGAATTGTTAACTGCTTATAATGATATAATTGCTGGGCATTTAAATTTTAATAATTTATAGAAGAGGTACCTCCTGAGCAATCCAAAATTTATGGTCACTATTTGCCACATCACGGAGTGAGGAAGGATTCTAAGACCACTCCTCTGAGAATTGTGTTTAATTGTAGTGCCAGGAGTAACAAAAATGTACCTAGTTTAAATGACTGTTTGATGACAGGTCCGTCGTTGACAGAAAAATTAGGAGATATCTTATTAAATTTCAGGATGAAAAATTATGCCTTTACGGCTGACATAAGTAAAGCTTTCCTAAGAGTGGGTTTAAAAGAGGCTGACCGGGATTGTACCCGCTTCTTATGGCCTGAGAATCCTATTGACCCACTTAGCCCTCTGAAAACCTTTTGCTTTAGGAGCGTATTATTTGGTGCTACATCCAGTCCGTTCCTACTTCAAGCGACGATAAATGCACACCTTAAATGTAGGGAAGCCCCATTGAGTAAAGTAATGAGCAAACAATTTTATGTGGGCAATTTCCTGGGTGTGACGTCAACTGAAGAGGAACTTTTTAATGACTTATGGAAAGGCTAATAAAATAAAAGCAAAGTGCAAATAGCCTCTGAGAGAATGGAATAGTAATTCAATCCAAATTGAAGGACAAAATAAGTAAAGATTACCTTGGAGTGAAGTGCCAAAATGTAGTAATGTTTTTGGGTTTAAATTGGGATACTGAGAGAGATTTGTTAATGTTAAAAACCCATTTAAATTTCAGTATGCCCAATAAATTAACTAAGAGAGTTTTGCTTGCTGAAGTTTCCAAATGTTTTGATCCACTAGGTTTAGTGTCACCCCTTACTATAAGAGGGAAATTATTAATTCAGGAAGCATGGAAACTTAAATGTGCTTGGGATGAAATTCTACCTGAGGAATTCATTAACAGGTGGGATGAATTAATTGGTGATTATGAAAAAATTCCAATGTTGGAGTTCCCACGTCAGGTGGCCAATCCAAATAGGAAAAATGTACTCCACATTTTTTGCGATGCTTCAAAATTGGCATATGGAGCAGTTGCTTACCTTCAATGTAATAGTGTTATTTCTCTTGTTATGTACAAGGCTAAAGTGTCTCCAATTAAATCACGTACCTTGCCTCAGTTGGAATTAACAGCCATCTATGTAGGTGTCAAATTAGCTAAGTATATAAGAAATAAGTTACAGGAGATAAATATTGTAACTAAATTGGTGTTTAAATTTCTAAACAAGATGAATATTTCATTTAAGTTTTCACATCCTCTTGAATTTTGGATGAAGAGGGTACAGGAGGAAATCTATGGAAATGAGATTAAATTGATGATGGAAAGAAAAATTGTGAAAGGTTCCATAATAGAGAAATTTGGGCTGTATTTAGAGAACAGTGTAATTAGGTGCAGAGGTAGGTTACAAAATGCTGAATTAGGTGATTATGCTAAACACCCTATCTTACTGCCCAAAACTCATCATCTAACAAATTTGATTGTTCTAAATGCCCATAAAAATGCAATGCATGGGGGGTACGAGATACCTTAAATTTATTAGGGAAACTTTCTGGATTCCACAAGGACGGCAAAGTGTTTAAAAAAGGGTGATTAAATCTTGTGTAATATGTCGCCGTGTGGATGCCAGATCCTAATGTACCCCGGTCCTCCACCATTGTCAAAGGAGCGTGTACAATTAGTGAAACCATTTGATGTAACAGGTGTAGACTATAGTGGTCCATTAATTTTAACAGGTACTCAGATGGTGTTCCACTGAAAGTGTATGTTTGTTGTTCGCCTGTACTGCTATAGGGGAGTTCATTTAGAAGTGGCACAGGACTTGTCTGCAGAACAGTTTAAAAGCTGTTTCGAAAAATTTGCAGCTAGGAGATCCTGTCCGAGGTTATGATTTCGGATAATGCCAAAATTTTGTAGCAGGTGCTCAACACTTGATAGAATTAAATAATAGTTTAAAGATGTTCAATCTCTGTTAACCCAGCGGGGGGTGTACTTGGAAATTTATTACTCCTAGAGCCCCTTGGCAGGGGGGGCTGTACGAAAGACTGACAGGCAAAAGTGAAGAGGGGTCTCCGTAAAGTACTACACTGGAAGAGAATTAATTTGGAAAAATTCCGTGTAGTGTTGTGGAGGCAGAAAATCGTATAAAAAATAGTCCTCTCTCGTACATGAGTGATAACCTGATGCAGATGTATTAACACCTTTTCACTATTAGAAGGAAATTGGAAGCTGGCCCTGTCTATAGAGATGATCCGGAAGAAAGTGATGAAGATTACAATGATGCGGCAGTGTTGTGTGATAAATTTAAAATGTTAAATAAAGTTTTTGATCATTGGTCTAATGTTTTGGCGTAAGGGAAAATCTTCTTACACTACGTGAAACTTTTTGGTACGACAGAGGCAGTAAATCGACAAACATTCAACCAGGTGACATTGTGTTGATTGATATGAACAAACATCGAACATTGTGGCCTTGGGCAAAGTATTTACATTGTACCCAGATGCACAAGGTGTTGTCCAGAATGTCAAAGTGTTGTGTCGTGCCAGAAAGTTTATGCACAATTAATAAATTGATTCCCTTGGAATTAGGTGTTCAATCAAACGTAAAAGAAAACCTTAGGGAAAGTGACACGAGTGATATGGAAGATAACGCTGACCAAAGTGATGCGGAAAATGAAATCGTGGTAGACCACTAGGAGACAGCCACTCAATCCAGACGGTGGAATCGTCTCCTAAAGGAGGAGTGATTTTTAGTCGTTTAGCAACGAACTCCGGCGGCCACGTGTGGAAAAATACTGTATATATTTTCCGGAAATACGGTAATTTATTTGGGAAATAGATGCCCTTATTGTATTTTTAAAAGAAGCATGTTACCGAAAAAAAGTAGAGACACTCGCCATCTTGGTTTTGAATTTGTATTGGAAACGTTGGTGAATGGGGAAGAATTTTTCGTGCTCTAGAGGTTAAAATTGTGATGACACCTCTCAAATAGGAGGCGAAATTGGTGGATATGCATTCCTGCATAACTTGAGATATCAGGCGACTGGACAAGACCTCTCCAGGAACCTCAGATAAGCTCTCTAGATTTGTGTGTAATTCTGGCCAGCATTATTTTCATAGATTTAGTTAGAGTGAGGTTTTCTGAGTATGATACACATTAATCTCCAGTCAAATTGGTGAGTGATGTTAAGATATATTTTCCTTCTGTTATGTAATTGTGTATATATATAACCATTTATATTTAATATACAGTCCACAAATTTATATATTTACCAGTATTCCTGATGTATGTATATTTCATTTAATTAATAGGTCCAGAGAAACTTGTGAATATGACAGTGGCAGGTATCGAAGGGGGACATTTTTTGCGACCTAAGTGTCCAAAATTCCTACTTGTCTAGCTGATAAATAATAGTTATCATTGTTCATTTACTGTTATGTATAATTATACATCCAAGTAAATGCAATTTTCCACAGTTGGGAACCCCTGAGTTAGACGCATCTGCAAGATATACTACATACACCCAGGAAACATGAATGGAATTATATTAAATAATGTCTTCAATGTCAATGCTTATAAATGTAGACATATGCATTCAGCAATTACCTAAAAGAATCCTTATAATAAAAATAGCCTGACACTGGTAGTAAATATTGAGAATTAACACATAATTACAATATAATATAAAAGCCTTATTCTGCCTTGATAATCTTTCTTCCCTGGCAATGAATATAAATAAAATAGTTATGAAAACTATTTTTGAATTGCCGTCTACTCCGTGGGTGAATCGTGTCAGTATTCAACTATCAGTACCCACATATTTGTCATTGTCAGGGTGGAGTCATAGCTCCTGGACATGCTTCTTCACTAGTCACTACTAGGTCCTCTCCTTCACTTCCTGGCTGCAGTGGAGTGCGGTTGTGCTTTGCACCCTTCTACTGTTCTACTAGGAGAGCTACCTTGAGTCAATATGGCGCTAAATGTGAGATGTCGTGTCAACACAGTGGAGACTGAGCTCCGTCGGGCGATATTGCCTGCTTCAGCACAAGGATTACTTCCTACCATCATACGTGAGGCTTATGGCATTCAGGACGACGAGTTATAAGGAGTTGTGCTAAGCCCCCAGGAGCACCATTTTCTGTGTAACAACCATGTAGACAAGTATAAGTGAGACAAACTATATTACTTGTTAAAGGGGATAAACTAGAAAGCCAGCAGAGGAACTCGATCACATGATCAAAAGTCATGACTAAGACCCGCATCAGGAAGCACGTGTCCTGTTCCCTGATAAATCTTCCCTAACTTAGGATAAAAAATATATGGAATAATGACAGAACTTTATTAGATTGTGTGTTAGTAGATAAAAGGTTGATGGGTAGATTTCTAGACGTACATCTTTATTCAATACATTTCAGTTAATTAATACCCTTTACCAATAATAATAATATTGGTGACTTACTTATATTTCACTGTTTACTCATGTACTATATTTGAGTGACTCGCTCACAATTACACAGGTCAAGGTTGCTTACCATTTCTAAACCCTTTTTCCAAGACAATTTAGTCATCATTTAAGACAAAATTTATGGGTTAGGTAACGTTATTATAGGAACATTTAAGCAGAGGGGATCATACAGCACCTGCGGGAATGAAAGGTAATCAGATTACATTAAAAAAGGAAGGGAAGATTTAATTTCTTTGATAAAGAGTATCTCACTGACACTTTCCATGAGAGGATATTAACCTGATAGCTCTATTAGGCACCCAGTATCAACCCTATGAGAAGAGTTTATTGAGATCTATATTGTGTCCAAAGAATGGGGCCCCATACTTAAAAATGGGGAAAAAATATTAATGTTAATTTTAATAATAATAATAATAATAATAATAATAATAATAATAATAATAATGATAATAATAATAATAATAATAATAATTATTATTAATTATTATTATTATTATTATTATTATTATTATTATTATTTTTGAGCTTTATATTTCATTAGAGCTTGCTCTTTCAAGAAGTTCACAATCGTTCATACACAAAACCATGAGTAGAACAAAAACAATCAAAAAGAATGCGAAAATGTATATACCAATGTGAGAGAATGATCAGCAGAAACATCCTTTCAATTTAAACTTAGAAGCATGAACAATTTCCTGAATATTAAGAGACACTGGCAACTCGTTACAGAGTTTGGGAGCTGATTACAAAAAGTTTCTTTCTTCAAATGATTTCACCTCAACAGCACGAGGCTTCTAGTCAGACGAAAAATGTCGTCAGCAATTCTTAGAAACTGTCTCCAGTCAGATGTAAAAAGTGCAAACATATCAGCAAGATAAAAAACTTCATTTCATCAGACGACACCAAAAGCGTTTTTCGAAGGTAATAATGGAAAAGAACTTGGCGAGAGCATCTGCAGTAACTGATATATTAGACTCGAACCGCCAAATTTTCTTCAGACATCAATCATATAGACAAAACTCATTTAGAATTTTATTAGCATACATAATGTTATTTCTCATTGAACTGATATTCAATTATGATGCCTCTAGGAGTTTTGAATAGCCTCAGGGAAACATTAAAAACAACATTTTTATTAATTTGTGGCATTACAGTACCATCCCCAGACAGTCTGAACTAGAGGCAGTGAAGAATAGCACCTTGAGGAATATCTCTGGACGAGAAGTTTACGTTATGGGAAGATTTTTTTAATGCAATTTCTAGATCATCACCATTACAAAAAGCTCTCACCTTGGTGAATTATACTTTTGGGTCATTTTCCTGAGGTATGACTAAAGCCCTGTCAATGGAAACATAGGGTCATTAAATATATTAACCTCACATCTTTGTCAGGCCATCATATATATACAATTTACCATCTGTTCTGAATGACAACATACCGAATTTCTGATTTAGATAGATGAATTACTTCCTCCCTTAACTTTTGCGAAACAGACACCAGGGACACTCCATCACTCATACAGTAATGATCGTTTTTGGATTCTTGGAAAAATACCCAAAATATTATCACCATCTCTACAAGATGGCGAAAGATCAAACACAGATAGCTTAGGCAGTATCTTATCTATAGATAAGGTTAAAGATATATATTTGTATTACACGAGTATATGGTAAAATAAAAAAAAAACTGCAGAGGAAAAAAATATTTTAAAACAGGATATATAAAATATGTACTGTCTAATGAAAAATATAACTGAAAACGTTGTCTGCAAGAAAACTTGCAATATAATAATGATATACTAAATGTTAGGCAAAGAAAAGTGAAGAACAGTATGTAAACTAAATACAAAAGGTAGCATTGAACGGAAAAAAATAGATATGACTAACTAGGTAAAATATGATGGCATAGGAAACAAGGATCACATACTGGTGACCACATTGTATCCCACAGCAGCAACACCAAAGATCACATACTGGTGACCACATTGTATCCCACAGCAGCAACACCAAAGATCACATACTGGTGACCACATTGTATCCCACAGCAGCAACACCAAAGATCACATACTGGTGACCACATTGTATCCCACAGCAGCAACACCAAAGATCACATACTGGTGACAACATTGTATCCCACAGCAGCAACGCCAAAGATCACATACTGGTGACCACATTGTATCCCACAGCAGCAACACCAAAGATCACATACTGGTGACCACATTGTATCCCACAGCAGCAACACCAAAGATCACATACTGGTGACCACATTGTATCCCACAGCAGCAACACCAAAGATCACATACTGGTGATCACATTGTATCCCACAGCAGCAACACCAAAGATCACATACTGGTGACCACATTGTATCCCACAGCAGCAACACCAAAGATCACATACTGTTGACCACACTGTATCCCGCAGCAGCAACATTTTACATCACTTAGGATTTTCAGACATTGTTTTTGTTACTAGAACCCTGTTATATCCATTATAATGAAACATTATTTAATTTTATTGGGCCATTCTAGATGAGATCTAAATACCATGCCATTTTTTTCATGCCTAAAACATATAAGATCCCTTGAGACTTATTGTGAAAATTTAGACGTCTGGCAAAAAATTATTTGTAGATTTTCCTGAATCAATTGCATGTAAACAAAATTCAGTAACTGGTATATATATTGGTGAAACTTGCACTCTCCCAAGACAAGTTACCTCAGTACCTGGTTACAATATGCCTCTGTAATTTATTGACTATATACAACATCAAATTTCGTAAAATAATAAGTCTATGATAAACCTCTGAAGTCAATCATTCCGTATCAGGATGTGAAGTCAGTATTCCAAAGATAAGTAGTTTTCATTATGTCAAGATTACAACTCATTCCGTGCAGCAGATTTTTTTGGTTTATTTTCCATTTGAAGTGGCATCTCATGATCCAAATCTTCTTTCATTTCCTCAAGTTCAGCTTTAGGTTCTGAGAGTTTAAATTTCTCAGAGTGAAGCAGCAAGTTCTGTTTAAGAGGCAGTGACTCCCAGAAAGCACGAACCTGTTTACATAAATAATGCAATAAGACTCAAAAATATATGAAACATTAATCTGAAATAAAATTGTGTTAGCTTCACGTTACCTGAATTTAAAATAGCATTATATTTTTTTCAACATTTTTATGATTTTAAAAGTCACACTTCCACAAACAAAAATAAAAAGGCACGTAGCATAATGAGCCTTTTTGTGAGCAATAAGTTGGTCTTAGGACATTAAAGCTTTATTTAAATATAAAGGTTTCCTTATGGCGCTCTAGTCAGAGCAAAATATTGTCCCAAAAATGCTATCAAGCCAAAATTTTGACTCACATAATATATAAATGGTATTATATAACAGTTATCGAAATACAATAAAATGCCAGAAATGTACCATTTTGACTGTGTCTGCTGTGACTCATTTATTCCCTTCTAAAATTATGCTCATTTTTTTCTTCTCCTGTCGGACTATATTCTACCAACGCTTGTAACTTCTCAAGCATCATTTTGGAATGTTTACATTGGTCATATTTAGGAATGTTTATTATTAAAGATTAGCCGGTATTCTCCCGGCCCGGGCCTTTTCCAAGTGGTAGCCCGGCCTTGGCTCCCTCTCTAGGGAGTATCTGAGACCTAAGTCTCCCATGGGAGGAGGTACAAGTACCTCCTCATCTTTGGGACCAACTGTCCCCAGGCCTAGCCACAAGCTAGGCCTCTCTGGTCTACCATCCCCGCCCCAAGGGGGCAAATGGGAATGACAGTCTTATGAGCTAAAGGCTCGGGCTCAGGCACCTACCCTACCCTAGAAGGGTTAGGCATGGTATCGATCTTTTAGGAATGTTTACATTGGTCATATTTAGGAATGTTTACATTGGTTATATTTGAAAACTAACATGATTATGTAAATTATTTGTACTGAAGCCTTATTTAATATATAATGCCTGTGGCTAGGATGAAAAAGTTAATTTTCTTATTTTTTAAGACAAATTTTATAGTAAAAAAAAAATATTGAAGTCTGATGCACCGTAAAGTACGAAATAATGAATCATTTTTGTGTGAATTATATTTGGTTACTAAGATATGCATGGAACCTCGTGGTTTTTATAGCCTTAAAGAAATTTGAGAGGGTCCCATAGAAACTGCCGAATAAGGCTTAAATAGTAATGGTCTTCTTGCCAAATAAGGTAAGTGAAAATTTGTGCATGCAATAATTTTGCAAAAATCGTTATGAATCTAAATTATTGTAAACTTATCTAAAATATATTTACTGGGATTAGGGTAAATTAAATTACTCTAGCTATAATAATGTCAGATAAGTTTTCTAAGGTTCTTTCGGTACAAAATTATTAATATTTACATTAACATAAATGAAAAACAATCTTTAAACGTAAAAGAGAAAATTTTAGAAAGGACCTAATTTTAAATGAGTTCTTCCTATTTGACCAATTTTACTTATTCGGCACGACATATATATATATATATATATATATATATATATATATATATATATATATATATATATATATATATATATATATATATATATATATATATATATATATATATATATGTATATATATATATATATAAATATATATATATTATATATATATATATATATATATATATATATATATATATATATATATATATATATATATATATATATATATGTCGTGCCAAATATGTAAAACTGGACAATTAGCAAAAACTCATTTAATATAAAGTGTTTTCTAAAATTTTCTCTTGTACTTTTAAATATATATTTTTTTCATTAATGTTATTGTAAAAATTTTTAATTTTGCACTTAAAGAATCTAGGAAAACTTACCTAACCTTATTATAACAAGAGCAATTTATTTTAGCCTAACCCAACTAAATATATTTTATTTAACTTTACAATAATTTAATAATAAAGAAACACAATGAAATAAATTTTTTTCCTTAGGTTCAGTATGATTTTGGCAAAATTATTGCATACACAAATTTTCGCTTGTCCTATATGGCAAGATGAGCGTTGCTATTTAAGCCAAGATCGCAAGTTATGCGTATTCGGCACCAAACCCTAGTGCAGCACTGGCTCACAAACAGTCAAGCTGGGATGGCCCAGCTGAAAAGGTGCTTGCCAACATGCTCAGGGCTGCAACATCAGATAGGGAGACTGCCCGTCTCCAGGCTGTGAACGCACATCACTCAGGGGACTTCCTCCAAACAGTTCCCATATCGGCAATGGGAACGTGACTCGACCTTAAGACCCTCCGTATTGCAGTGGCTCTGCACCTTGCTGCCCCAATTCACACATAATATATGTGTATTTGCAGTGAAGCGCAAGCAGACCAATATGGTGTACATGGTCTTAACTGTTCCAAAACCAAGGGCTGGCATGCAAGACACAGTGGGGTCAATGACATCATAAAGAGAACCTTTGCTACAGCTGGATGCCCAGCCGAGAGGGAGCCTCGATCACTAGCAGCCAACAATACCCACAACCCAGCAAACTGCCCCGATGGGATCACCATCTATCCTTGGAAGAATGGCAAACTCTTAGCATGGGACTATACCTGTGTGTCCACACTGGCTGACACCTACATCCATCACAGTGTCGGACGACAGGGAGGAGCTGCTGACCACAGGGAGGAGTACAAGATCAGCAAGTACAGGGACATAAGAGAACAGTATCAATTTGCCCCAGTGGAATCAGAGACCTTGGGATCATGGGGAAAAAATGCCACACTTTTCCTTAAAGAACTGGGTTCCAGACTCATCGACACCACCAGGGACCCAAGGGCAGCCACTTTCATGTTCCAGCGCCTTAGCATAGCCATCCAGAGGGGAAATGCTTGCTGCATACTTGGCTCTCGTCCGGCTTCGGAGGAGCTGGAGGAAATTCATGATCTTTAATACATTTTACCATTGTATTCATGTTTGTGTTTTTCTGCACATGTATTCTGTTTATCAATAAATGTTCACATAGAATATAAAATATATAGGGGTGGTAGGAGAAGAAAATATTCAAACAGCTCTGGGGAGATCCTTGAGTTTTCCCTGAGGTACGTTTATTGTCTTCTCTGAGGTAGAGAGTCCCCATTCCAGCTATAGAGGTGGTACCTCCCTATATTTTATAATATAATATAATAGGGAGGTACCACCTCTATAGATGGAATGGGGACCCTAAACCTCAGAGAAGACAATAAACGTACCTCAGGGAAAACTCAAGGATCTCCCCGGAGTTGTTTGAATATTTTATTCTCCTACCACCCCCTATATTTCATATCCTATGTGAAGATTTATTAATAAACTGAATACATTTACAGAAAACACAAACATGAATATAATGGTACAATGTATTAAAGATCATGAATTTCCTCCAGCTCCTCCGAAGCCGGACGCGAGCCAAGTATGCAGCAAGCATTTCCCCTTAAAAATTAAAGCTGTAATAGTAGATCTATTCTTAACATCCTTAAGACCACATCGTCTATGAACTTAAATTAAATTGTGATAAACAACTATCCATGAATAAATATAAGGGTAGACGAGGGGATTGATCCTCGATCAGTAAATTGACAGTCTCATGCTCTACATTCTAGGGTAACCCAGGCCTCTAATAGGAAGGAATCAGAATTCTCTATTACATTCCGCTAGAGCAGTGGTTCCCAAACTTTTTCAGCTTGTTACCCAATTTAACATGCCACATAAAGCATGTTACCCCTTTCACAAAATGTTGTTATTATTGATATATATGGCTAAACGTGAACGTATACAGCCTCGCATACTCTGCTAATCCTAGCAAAACCATTGAAAACGTAAGAACCACACATACATTATATATAAAATTAATAATAGCTACAAATTCACAGTAACAGTGGGTAAATACTAACTATATACTGCACAGGGCAGTACACATACATACCAGCTTATGTCTACCTCGGCTGATGCTCACAGATAAACTGACAGTGTGAAATAGAGGCAGCCTCAGGAAGTGAGTGACGCGTACTGGACAGGTCGATCTGGGCTACTGAGTGACTTTTGTCCTGAAGCATACTTGTCAAAATACTTTTGGGTTTCCACACACTTAGCTATATATTTCTTCTTTTCTAATACTGTATATTAGTTTTTGATGTTTATTGTTATTTGGTTTAACTTTATTACTTACTTATAATAGGTTTACTTTACAACTTTATATACTAAGACAAAGTTAACAATAATCCTCATACCGGGTACCGCACTGTTTTCTTGATTTTCAGAATTCATAACTTTTTTTCTGTCACCCCTCCATTACCCCCCAAAAATGGTTAAATTACCCCCAGGGGGTAATTTACCCCCAGTTTGGGAACCACTGCGCTAGAGGTACCAACTGTAACCCAACATCCTAGACCCGGCCACACCAGTGAGCCTCAGACATGGTTTCCTACTGTTCATTCTCCTGTATGTTCTGACCACATGAGTGATTTTATATAAATCAATGGACCAGGTACAAAGGAGAGGAGGTGTACGGAGAAAGATCAACCTAGGAGGATTTTCTATGCATACACCTTCACTTTTTTCTCGTTACTGCATTGATAAAATCACTCATGCAGTCAAAACGTACAAAAGAAAATTGCTGGAAAGCATGCCGGAGTTTGACTGGTGTTCCTGGTGATTGTAAGAATCGTAGTTTGTAACCAGGCTACCTAGTTTTTATGTGACATTTGTAGAGGCATTGTCTAAAAGCTTTAAAAGTTCTAAGTAGCTATGAGTTAAATAAAAGCTGATCGGAAATCTTTTGCATAACCAGGGATTTCTATAATGTATGTTAATAATATCACATTTTCTGTACCAACTGTAAGTCATTATTTACAGAAGTTTATTTCATCGTAATAAGAAGCTCTTTGCTTCATCATATTTATTGACAATCTTTTCATTTCGATACTAAAGATTTTACGGAGTTCTTTTTTACACGAGGAATATACGAGAAGCGAACAATAGATTACCATGTGCCTATAGTCTGCCTTCATGGTGGGCGTCAGTGTGAGAGACAAGTGATGGACGTTGTCTGGACGTGCAGCTTCCCACACTATATTTAGAGAGTCATCAGGTGTTGGATTCCTGTCATGAAATAAGGATGTGTGATCTGGGTTAAACATATATTAGATATGTCTTGAAAACTGTCACTCTCCATGTGGTTATAATGGTAAAAAACATTTGTACCTAGGAATTATAGCTATTTTCCCTTCACAACCCTTCAGGTTAGAGCAAAGATACCAGTTAATTAAGGCTCTTGAAGCTACTTTATCCTTCCTCAGATAAAAAATGATTAAACCACACATACTGCATGACTCTTCAAGGTTAAGCACATCGTCATGAATTTGATAGTAAAATAATGGTAAACTACATTACCCAGTAGCTGCAAAATTGGTCCAGAGTTTAAGCATGATGTGTCTCACTTTGAGGTCGTCTGGCCACTCCAGCGGCTTCCAGTGAGTCTTCTCGCCAGTGAACAAGTAGAACATATCATCCGCATGGGTCACCCCTGTACACAATAACATTCACTAAGCTTTATGTGTGTCACATGTAAGTTTAATGATGTCTTGTGAATATAATAATAATTAAAATAAATATAAAATTATGAAAACAACAATAATAATAATAATAATAATAATAATAATAATAATAATAATAATAATTATTATTATTATTATTATTATTATTATTATTATTAATTATTATTATTATTATTATAAAATAATTATAGTTATTATTATTATTACTGCTATAGAAGGTAATAGGTTGGTAGACAGCAACCATCCAGGGAGGTATTACCGTCTTGCCAAGTGAGTGTGAAACAGAAACCTGTAACTGTTTTACATGATGGTAGGATTGTTGGTGTCTTTTTTGTCTCATAAACACGCTGGATAACAGGTATATCTTGCTACTTATTCTTAGGTCACACTACACAGACATACATTTGAATATATATACATACACACATTTAGGTTTTTCTTCTTTTCTTAATATTTCATTTCCATATTTATTTCTTCCATTCTCGATGGAGAAGTGGAAAAGAATCTTTCCTCTGTAAGCCATGCATGTCGTATGAGGCAACTAAAATGCCGGGAGCAATAGGCTAGTAACCCCTTCTGTAGAAAATACTAAAAAAAAAAACTAGAAAAACTTTATAAAATTGGGTTGCTTGAATGTGCGTGGATGTAGTGCGGATGACAGGAAGGAAATGATTACAAATATTATGACTGAAAAGAAGTTGAATGTCGTGGCTCTAAACAAAACAAAGCTGAAAGGGGTAGGCGAGTTTCAGTGCGAAGAAATAAATGGGATTAAGTCAGGAGTATCTGAGAGAGTTAGAACTATTGAAGGGGTAGCAATAATGTTGAAGGATTAGTTATGGAAGGAGAAGAGGGAATATGAATGAATAAATTTAATGATTATGTGGGTTAAAATAAGGGTTGGATATGAAAAGTTGGTCACTACAAGTGTGTATTCACCTGGAGAAGAGGAATTAGAGAGGAGGAGAGAGTATGTAGGAACTTTTGAACCAGGTGAGAGAGTAATTGTGGAAGGGGATGTAAATGCTAAAGTAGGAGAAACATTTAGAGAGGGTGTGGTAGGTAAGTTTGAGGAGCCAAGTGTAAATGATAATGTGAGCCCTTTCATTCATCTTTGTATAGAAAGGGGTTTGGTTATAGGTAAGGCATATTTAAAGAAAAAAAGGATAAATAAGTATACAAGATATGATGTAGGGCATAATGACAGTATTTTGTTGGACTACATATTGGTAGATAAAAGATTATTAAGTAGACTTCAGGATGTACATGTTTACAGAGGGGCCACAGATATATCAGATCACTTTTAGTTGTAGCTGCAGTGAGAGTAACAAGTCGATGGGATACAAGAAAAATAGAAGCAGCAAATAAGAGAGAGGAGAAGGTTTATAAACTAAAGGACAAGGCAGTTAGGGGAAGATATAAACAACTATTGGAGGATAGATGGGCTAATGAGAGTATAGGCAATGGGGTCGAAGATGTATGGGATAGATTTAAGAATGTAGTGTTAGAGTGTTCAGCAGAAGTTTGTGGTTACAGGAAAGTGGGTGTGGGAGGGAAGAAGAACGATTGGTAGAATGATGATAAAAAGAGAGTTGTAAGAGAGAAAAAGCTAGCATATGAGAGGGTTTTACAAAGTAGAAGTGATACAAGGAGGGAAGAGTATATGGAGAGAAAAGAGAGGTTAAAAGAGTGGTGAAGCAACGTATAAAGTGAGAAAATGAGAGAGTGGATGAGATGTTATCAACAATTTTTGCTGAAAATAAGATAAAGTTTTGGAGTGAGATTAGAAAGCTGAGGAAGTCTAGGGAATGAATGGATTTGAGAGATAAAAGTTGGAGAGGATGGTTATTAAATGGAGAGTTAGAGGAATCGGAAAGATGGAGGGAATATTTTGAGGAATTGTTAAATGCGGAAGAAGATAGGAAAGCTGTGATTCCCTGTATAGTACATAGAGGAATAACATCTTGTAGGAGTGAGGAAGAGCCAGTTGTGACTTTGGGGGAAGTTCATGAGGCAGGGGATAGAATGAAAGGGGCTAAAGCAGCTGGGATTGATGGGATAAAGATAAAAATAATAAAAGCAGGTGGAGAGTATTGGAATGATGAAGCCACTGCATGGCGAAACGTTTCTTCAAAGACTCCCATATGTTGCAAAACAATATATAGTTTTGGAGTGGTTGGTGATTTAATTTAATAAATGTATGGAATAAGATAAGTTACATAGTGATTGGCAGAGTGAACATAGTTCTTTTGTATAATGGCAAAGGGGACAAAGCACAGTGCGAAAATTGCAGGGGAATAAACTGTTGAGTCTCCTGGTAAAGTGTATGGTAGAGATTTTATTGAAAGAATTAAGAGTAAGGATAGCAGATGAACAAGGAGGCTTTAGGAAAGGTAAGGGGTGTATAGACCAAGTGTTTACAGTGAAACATGTTGGTGAACAGTTCTTAGATAAGGGTAACGAGGTTTTTGTGACACTTATGGATTCGGAAAAGGTGTATAGCAGGGTGGATAGGAGGGCAATGTGTCAGATATTTTAAATGAATGGAATATGATGTAGGTTACTGAAAGCAGTGAAGAGTTTTTACGAGGATCTTGAGGCTCAGGTTAGAGAATGTATGAGAGAGGGAGATTATTTCCACAGTAAAAGTAGGCCTTTGACAAGGATTTGTGATGTCACCATGGTTGTTCAATATCTTTATAGCTGGGTATGTAATAGAAGTGAATGCTCGAGTGTTGGTAAGAGATGTGGGGTAAAAATATAAAGAATCTGACACAAAGTGGAAGTTGTTACAGTCGCTGTTTGTTAATGACATGGTGCTTTTGGGAGATTCGGAAGAGAAGTTGCAGAGGTTGGTGGATGAATTTGATAGGATATGTAAAACAAGTTTTTCTTCTTCTCTTTTTTAGTAAATGTCTACAGGAGAAGGGGTTACTAGCCCATTGCTCCCGGCATTTTAGTCGCCTCATACGACATGCATGGCTTACGGAGAAAAGATTCTTTTCCACTTCCCCATGGACAATAGAAGAAATAAAGAGGAACAAGAACTATTTAGAAAAAGGAGAAAAACCTAGATGTATGTGTATATATATGCATGTGCGTGTCTGTGAAGTGTGACCAAAGTGCAAGTAGGAGTAGCAAGATATCAATGTTATCTAGCGTGTTTATGAGACAGAAAAAGAAACCAGCAATCCTACCATCATGCAAAACAGTTACAGGTTTCTGTTTCACAGTCATCTGGCAGGACGGTAGTACTTCCCTGGGTGGTTGCTGTCTACCAACCTGAAGGAGGGGTGTTAATGTTGCAGTTTAAAAACTGTAGTGTAAAGCACCCTTCTGGCAAGACAGTGATGGAGTGAATGATGGTGAAAGTTTTTCTTTTTCGGGCCACCCTGCCTTGGTGGGAATCGGCCAGTGTCATAATAATAAAAAAAAAATGTAAAAGAAGAAATTAAAAGTGAATATAGGAAAGAGTAAGGTGATGATGATAAAAAAAATAGGTGACGTAAGATTAAATATCAGACTGGAGGGAGAGAGTACAGAGGAGGTGAATGTAAACAGATATTTAGGAGTGGATGTGTCAGCAGATTTGGCAATGAAGAATGAGGTGAATCATAGAATTGATGAGGGGAAAAAGATGAATGGTGCAATGAGGATCCTGTGGAGCCAAAGAAATTTGTCCATGGAAGCAAAGAGGGGAATGTCTAAGAGCATAGTTTTACCAACGCTCTTATATGGGTGTGAAACATAGGTGGTGAATGTTGTAACAAGGAGAAGGCCGGAGGTAGTGAAGATGTCGTGTCTTAGGGCAAAGTGTGGTGTGAATATAATGCAGAGAATTCGTAGTTTGGAAATTAGGAGGTGAGTGATTACTAAACCTATTATCCAGAAGGCTTAGGAGGGATTGTTGAGGTGGTTCGAACATCAAGAGAGGATGAAACAAAATGGAATGACTTCCAGAGTATATAAATCTGTAGCGTAGGGCAGGCGGGGTAGAGGTCGGCGTAAGAAAGGATAGAGGGAGGGGGTAAAGGAGGTTTTGAGTGCGAGCGGCTTGGACTTCCAACCCAAAAACCCCCAAGAAGTGTTTTGGGGGAAAAAAAGCGGGAAGGGACAAACAGTTTTTTTTTAGGATTTGACGTGGGAGACTTGGGGGAAACTTGGTGGGGGACTTGGGGGAAAAAAATTTGGGGGAGAAATTTGGGGGGAGACGGGGGGAGACATGGTGGAGACCCTTGGGGGGAGACCCTTTCTGGGAACTTGGTGGGAGACTTGGTGGGAAAACCCTTGGTTGGGGGGCTTTGGGGGGAGCCGGGCCCAGTGTTAATTAAAAATTTAAATATTTTTTTTATTATTAAAAATAACAATTAACAATAAATAGCAATGCTCCCCCTACCAAACTACTGCAACTAAATACAAATGCACACTACAACTAAAACACTACTTCAACTACTACTGCTTTCTACACAACTACTAGCACTACTTCTACTACAAATCACTACAAAAACTACTAGCACTAAATTCAACACTACCCAAAATACTACAAAATACCAAAACTACTTCAAATATTTTCTGCAAATACTACAACAAATAGCACTACTTTTACAAAATAAATGCTACTACTACAACACCAGCACTAAATTCCCAAATACTTTTCTGCTAAAATAACTACAACCACAAACAATACCTTCTACTACTACGCTACTAATAAAAACAAATACCCCTACTTCAAACCAAATACGCTACTACTACCCAAATACTAGCACACTTCAAAACTAAACTACTTTCTACAAAAAATACACTACTTCTACAACTTCTGCACATACAAACTACTAAACCTACTTTTCCCAAATCCCGCTACTACTACAACCCACTAGCACTAAATTCTTCTACTACAATGCACTACAAAAACCAAATACACTCCTTTTAAATACTACTACAAAGGGTACTTTTACTACTACTGGGTACT